AATATAAAATATTATTATACAATTTATATATTTATATAAAAATATAAAATATAATTATATAATTTAATTTTATATTATATAATATATAATTTATTTATACATAATTTAATTTTATATTATACAATTTATATAAAATAATATAAAAATAATATTAACAATGTAAAATAATATAATAATGTTCTCAAAACACTTATCATTTATTGTTAGTATGTATTTGAAAATTCTATCCAATGAAAATTATGGCACTTCTGACTCTTTTTGCCAACAGTGTAATTTCAGGACAAAGTTTATGGATATGAATAAACACACCAACCTCGAGATATATGAAAAAATGATAATTTCCAAATGGAAATTCCCTAAATTATTGCGTAAACGGACAACGTCGAAACGTTGTTGAAAATTCGTAAGAATTTGCAGAAATGAAATGAGCGTTTGCCTTGTGTGACTTGTGCTTATCGCTTCTTGGACGAAACCGGAGGATGCGGTTTTCATCTCGCTTTTCGTTTCAAAGAGTAAACCGGGGCGGCTCGTCGTAATAGTCGATGATGCTTAAACACGAATAGGCCTGCCTCGAAGGACAAAATGAGGAATTCGAAAGCGGAACCGGATAATGTGGTAATTGCATTCTGGGAATCAGTTCAGCACGCACTCCTTAACAAGCTTCGACGCGTCTCTCCTGTCTGGCTCTAGACACGGCAAGTTGAACAACATGGACGAACGGATCGGCACGGTTGTGGTGCCCTATCTTCTATCTTTTTGATAGCGCGTGATTTCTTTTCGGAAGCACAGGTGTCAGATTCACGGCTGTCACGTCCGGGCTGATCAATTATCAGCAACTTTTTTTTTTGCCAACACGACTGTAATAGTTTGTTTTCTGTCACGATTCTTAGGAAACAGCATATTGCAGCGAAACGTATACGCCAATTAACTCTAATTTTTGACCATCTTATTTTTAATGCAGGGACGTGCACGAGATTTGCAGCTAAATAGAGTTTTTCGAACTCTTCTGTGTTGATTCATTTGAAAATGTAACGTCCGGTCTTCGAAACATTTCTGCAATGCACTTTCTGGCGTGGCTTTCAGTTCGCTCAGTTTCTGAATCTTCGATGTTCATAAATTATTCTTCTTTCATGGTTTTTCTCGTGTTAGGAAAATAGAAATCGCAAAATTATGATATTATTACGGTTTTAATTTTAATCAAAAATTTTCGAACAGTGTGTGAACATAATCTATCAGATAATAATTAATTAATTAATCTGAATTACGTATTCAATCCAAATATAAATTGTGACGTAGGCTATAGATAAAAATAATCAATTATCAATAATAATAATATAAAATAGATAAAATAATAATAATATTATAATGAATAATAAAAATCTATAATTAATGATTAATATATTATTAATTTATAATAAATAAAATAAATAAAATAAACACAGAATGAAATAATAATTCTTCATGATTAGAGATGAAGAATTGAAAATTGTTTCGATCAAACTTCGTATTAACTAACTTTCATTGAAAGATAATGCAGTAATACAGCGACAATGAGATATTAAATTTAAGAAATTTTAAAACGAGTACAATACGATTGTAACACCCAAAATTACCAGCTAATTGTTATTTACCACAATTTTTATCCCACATTCCAGTTAAATCGTTTTGATCAATTTCAAACGCGGATACACCGCTCAATGAATTATTAATAAGTTGGGAAATATGAAGAAACGAAAGGGAAAATGGGAGGAGAAGAGACGTGGAGGCGAATGAGATGAAACAAATGATAATTAGTGGATCTCGGAGTCTGCATTACTTCAGTCAGTCTGTCTGCGAAAGCTCGCGTCTCTATTTCGAAATGCATATTCATTGAACTGACCTACGTGTATTCTAAATATATAGATATCGTTTCAACTCGGCTTCGTGGAGGGTCAGACGAACAGCGTCATACGGTGCTCTCATAAATTACCACTAGTCGGATAACATGTTATTTGCCACCGAGCTCACAAATGAGTGCGCTCTGTATTTAATTACTCGACTCACGCCCAGGGCGCATCCTTACGGCGCGGACCTACCTCAGATCATTCTTACCCAAAGAGCATCCCTTCTGTTGCTCTATTTTTCTTTTCTCACACTTTCTTTTCTTTTCTTTTTTCCTTTTTTTTCTTCCCCACCTCCTCACCCGCTACCTTATCGAACCTTTATCTCGCCTCCCATACTTCTTCCACAATTAAATATCCGTTAATTAATAAATTAATCACGTTCTCGAATGACTGAGGCTGCTCGAGTAACATTTGATCGATAGAGATAATTAGAAGTACATGTCTGCAGTTTTTGATTTTCGTCTTCGTTCTTCTTCTTCTTCGCAGAGTAGTTACTGGTTACTTATTTAGGAGGTCTCCTAAATAACTCGTTTTCTTTTTCATTTAACTGAGGAAAAGTAAAAAATTCTTTGGCAAGGTTTTGACAAGCAAAAGACAGGACGAGTGGGTTGAACTGATGCATCGACGGGGTGAGCAGGTAAGCAAAAAAGGTGAAAACAAAAGGCTGAGGGCAGAGGTAATGCTGTTGTTGAATAGAGCAAGGATAGACACAGGCAAGCGTATGTTTCGTAGCCCTAATTATTGGTTCCGTCCCAGTTCCGTTCTGGAACAAGAAGATAATAGATGGAAGCAATCAATTTTTAAATTACATCCCAATTCGACGGCGGAATATTCTCGCGTGAAAATGGCAAAGGTATTTAGATGTAAAAAACAGAAAAATGTATCCTAGACGAGTCAGTATTAATTACGCTCGTTTAACTTTAATATATTTTTAATTATCCTGTTTGCTGAAATATTTGAGAAAAAGACAAAATCTTTTACCAGTTCTTCTTTCAATCAATTTACATTGTTGAATTTCAGTTTCGTAACAGTGCAATTACACAAGGAAATTCCAAGCATTCGTTCGATATTTTTTTACTAGTATGACAAACTATTTATTTAAAAAATTTTTTAAATTATGAAAACTTTTCCTGTAACTCTGATTTTTATGTAATGCAGCTTCTGTGAAATATCGGAATTATTTGTTACTAGTTGACATTCTATTTTGGCAATATACCTAATGTTCGAAGATATTCAAAAAATACATATTTATAATTATCTTTCTATGAAATTTATCTTTCTTTCCCCTGTGCTTACAATATATTAAAAACCACCTAACGATACTTACAAAAATTTAATAAAAATATCACAGTTAATAAGGTAAAAATAAAAATTCAAGAATTTTCTATTAAGAATTGTTCGTAATGTTAAAAGATATAATACAAGGCTGCTCTCATGTGTTGATCACAAATTATACAAAAATATCGATAAAAATTTTCTTTGATTTTGTGAGAACGACACTCGAAGGAACCAAAATGGCCGCTATTCTGTATTTCGTTACTTTCCTACGTCCACAAAGGAAAGAATAGTTGCGAGAGTTAAGAATCTGATCGGGAAAGACAATGTTCACCGTTACGAGATGTAACGATTCACGTGTTCCCGTTCTCGTTAAAAGTACGAAAAGTACCAAAGGTTTTCGAGCGGGGGGATTATCGTGTCGCTACTTAGGAAGAATTTTAAGGCAATGGCGCGACGATCCCGAAATCCAAGACGGCTGTGTCCGAAGGGAATGACAGAGATCGGGTTGCCTCGGACCACCGTCGTGCTCGCCGCAAACTTTATCCTACCTGTTTTCGCTAATTGAGCGAGTAAAAATGTAACTGGACCTTACGCCCCTGAGGTATTTGCACCCTTTTTAAGATACGATCCGTTCTTTTCCCAAGGTTTTGCGCTGGACCGCGTTCATCGTTCCACAATCGCTTCGACCGATCGGTTTACCCGGTCAGTTTGCTTAAGCGTGTACTCCAAATTAACCATTATTTGCCCAAATAACTCGGTATTATTCATTTGAAACAGCATTCGTTCCCTTTGCTTTTTGTCTTTATGTTTCGCGAGAAACTAGTGTCGAACGGTTCAGACATAAAAATATTGGACGTAGATACATTACAAAGAGTCAGGAACAGACAGATATATAGAAAATTATTGCCGATTCACAGGCTCTTGATGCAATTCGATACGGTGGCAATGGAAGTAAGTAAATTATAATAAATTATTAATAAATATAATAAATTAAATTATGTTAAATTAAATTTAAAAAAATTTAATTTATTATATTTATATTATATTTATTGTATTATATTTAAATTACATTTATTAAATTACATTATAAATTAAATTATAATAAAGTGGTAATGAAAGTGGTAAATTACAACAGACCAAATCTTATTAAGTGTATTATTAATAAGAAATTATTCGTGGGAAATCATTCCTACTTTCAAAGCAACTTTTTGATATTTAAATAAATTATCGATATGAAAGAAATATCTGTCTATGTTTGATCGTAAGTAATCGTAAGTTTAAACGCGTTGTGTGTGATATGCATTGAATAGAGTTCGTATATATATATATATATATTCACGTACTTACATACAAATATATATATATATGTCACTGAAGGGCCAGGTAATAGCTGTGCGATTTTATACATGATCGCATAGGATGGTGGCGCCGATGCCACCTGTTGCGCTAGCCCGTTCGCATACTCGAACCTGGCCGGCTTTACCTCACCGCGGAAATGGTGGGGAACGTTGGCGATTTTTCATTGGCCAGACGGCACGTGCTGCACGAGGGTGCCTCGCTCCGAAAACGCATAAATCCCCCGGCGGTGTACCAGCCGACTTTAGAATCACCCCGACGGCCGAGTCGGCGTGCGTGTGTACAACCTCGAGGGAACCTCGTCCTTTCACCACCTGAACAGATTCAGCCTAAACTAGAGGAACTAGAGATCTCGTCACACGTAATCAACAGAGAAGAGCTTTTTCGGTGTTTCCCCGGTGAAAGTACAGTGAAAATTCAGTGAAGACGAGGAGGAGGCGAAGGAGGAGGTGGAGGAGGAGGAGGTGGTGGTCCGTCCTTCGTCGAGTGAAGAATTTCCGAATTCTCAGGCTCTGTGATTTTCCATCCAGTAAAAATTCCCATCATGGAACTCCAGGAGATGTTCCGTTATGGATACATGTTCCCACCGAGGGAAGACGAGGTCGTGTCCTGTACGTACCTGGACCTACCGAGCTACACCTACTCGAAGAGCAAGGCCGACCTTCCACCCGTCAGCACTATCAGCATACCGCAGTGCATCGTGTACGACGGTAGCCGCAGCGACGGCTGGCACACGCCGAGTCCAACCGCGAGTCTACGATCGGTTAGTCCCGCCACAACTTTGTCCATATCGTCCGAGCCTGACACGATAAGCAGTACTCCAGTTACCTACCGTTTACTAGGCTCGATGGAGGAACTGAACAAGAGGTACGGCACGAAGAGGAGCCTCGTTGCCATTAACAACGAGGCAACGCAACACGCTGTGAACATGATAGATCTGACCGAGGAGGTGAACAGCATGGACGCGGACACCGATGGAACAGCGGATCCGGAGGCCGAGACCGAGCACGAGAAGGCGCAGTCGTCCCGCGGCAGCGTCATCAGCAACGCCAGCAGCTTCTCGGACAGAATAGTGGACGCTGACAGCGAGGACGACGCCGAGATGAGCGACAGCCCCGATCACATTGGATCCGGAGTCGACGGCGGCGGGAACAATCGGAACGCGGTCCGAAGAAGGGGTAAATACGTTAGCTCGACGATCGTGAAGAAACGGAGGCTGGCGGCGAACGCCAGGGAACGGAGGAGGATGCAGAATCTGAACAAAGCGTTCGATAGACTGAGAGCGTATCTTCCGTCTTTGGGCAACGACCGGCAGCTCTCGAAATACGAAACGCTTCAGATGGCACAGTCTTACATCACCGCTTTGTACGATCTTCTGCAATAACATTTTTTTTTTTTCTTTTTCCTTTTTCTTTTTCCACGAGGTCGAACCTCGTCAACCTCTTGCGCTGGAACGACGTGCCACGCACGTCGAGAATTTTTTGAAAATTGCAATGTTTTCTCAGTTTTTAAGTACATTTAAGTACAACCCAGGCAAAACAAATGATAGATTTATTACTTCTCAATAATTTCTATCCAGTGATATCGTACCGACGAATAAGAGTTCAAGAAGAAAGCGAACGAATTGTTGGTCACTCGGTTATGGTTGCGCGATCAGTTGCCAGCGCAAATGGTTATGGGTCGAAATTGAACGAGAGTCGGTTAGTGAAATTAACCAGGGAACTCTACCCTGAAAGAGGAAGAATCTCTCGACTTGCGTGCACGAAAGAGGGAATTTTCGTTCGATCGAATTATAGGAATTTGTGTTCGAAACATAGAAACTGAAGATCTGTCGTTATTATTACTTTTCCTTTGTTTGTAGATATTTACAGCTGTAATCAGAAGAACATTCGTTTCAGTTATCTGCTAATTCTTGTAATTGCGCTTCGATCATTCGTTCGTTTATCTTTCGTAAAACAATATCGGGCATCTCGTAGTTGTACGTTTTAGTATTATCATCGCAAGTATTTGCCGTAACGGAGGTGAACCTGGATCTCCAAAATTCCTGTAAATACTAGACACTTTGTAAATTTTTGTAAAGCCGCGCGACACTTTAGCGAGCAGACGTCGCGATGTTGTATCATAAAGGCGGATCAAGCTAAGCACTCGTAATTTATTGTATTATAAATATTAACGCGCTCTTTGAGACTGAAACCGCATGTGTTGAGAAATATAATTATTTTATACATTCTTGCAGTTTCCAAATACACATCTCCCCCCCCCCCCGCCCTCACCTCCTAAACCGAAGTCTTACAACTCGAAGTCCTACAAGAGAACGTCGGAAGTTTAGCTTAAACTCTGAAACCAGACTTCTCTTCGAGGCTCGCCTCGATGGCGAAGACATTTCTCTCTTCAGCTGTCCGGAGCCGCGCGATAGAAGAAAAATTGCCGTCTAATTGTTTCTATCGGGTTTTAATTTCGTTCGAATACGAAAGGTTGTATCATAAGGGATGAAAAGTATATTCGGGGCGACAGGGAAACAGCACCGTCATCGGTGGTCTGGCCGTCATACGAAACCCACGCGACGCATCGGTGCCCGGTTTCATTGCAATTTGAGAACCTGCAGCCTCCTTTCTTTCGACGATGACTCTTCCTTCTTTATTTTTTCCTTTCGATCTTTCCACCTTCGATTTCTATTGGTTATCATCGTCGCGCTTTGCTCCGTTTCTACTATCGAGCACTGTCAAACTATTCAACTATTAGATAGAACAGTCACGGACAATTGCATTTTTGTCCTTGCAGGTATACTTGCCATTTATTGTTGGTCTGTGTTACATGTAGCGTATTTTTCACGAATTGCTAAATTTTCACGAAAGAGAATTTTCTTCTCACGAAGAGAAAGGAACAGAAATTCTGTTTTTGCTGTTTCCTTTTAGAAATCTGAATATCTGAAACGCAATGTTTTATGAAATGTATATGAGCACACGACCAGTATAAACTGTCCAGAATGTTCAACATCAAGCAAATAGTGATCATCGTGGTTAAGGAGGAAGAAGGAAGGAACACGAGGATATAGCGGTGATTAACACTATCGTACTGACACCATCCTGGTGGTTAATGTAAATACCTACGTGCGAACCTTTTGTTGCACGAAAAGATAGAAACATAATTGCAGAGTAAACGAGCAACATGTATTTTTTACACAAAGGGTAGAAGATACACGGTGCTTGGAGAGACCGTAATATAACGCCTCTATTGTCCAATGGCCTTTTTTCGTTAACATCTTTCCCTTCCAAACATTATTATGGAGTCGAAATATTTATAGACTTACAATTACTCTTTACTACTTTAAGTTTCTCACTTCACTTTCCTGCTTAATTTCGCTCTGGTGTTCAACTCTATTGCATCATTCAATCTTGTATTTTTTCCAACGTTGAAAAATATCTCAGGTTTTGAGCAAAATCTAAAAGAGACGTAACTTCTCCGTCAAATATATTCTTGAAACGATATGAATTCTTCTTGACTATTAAATTCATAGCAAGATCGAAATATAAAAATTTGAGGATCGTAGCAGGATTGTTTAGCCAATTTTCGAAATCAAATAGCACACCGACGTGCATAAAGAGAACTCATCAGAGAATGAAAGGGATAAAAATCGTTCAAATCTCTAAAAAGACGCAACATTAAACAATGTTCTGTGAAACTACTCTGAAAAATTACAAATCACCAAATATCGATCACTCGATAATTTCAGATGAGAGATTTAAAAGAACCTCGAGGAGAAGATTCGTTTCATTTCACCATTGACGAATTGATTCCTAGTCCCATAAAAGTCCGAATAGTTGCGACATTGACTCGTTTCGCGAGACTCTTCTACGTGTGTGTGTGTGTTAGTCGTAAAGGAGAAGGTCCGGCACTCCTCGAGAATCATTCGACTTAAACTCGATAAAAATCGCGCGACGTCTTCCTTGGCGATTCGAGGATGGGGCCATTCTCAGGCCGGCCCCCGTAAAAAAAAAAGAGAAGACAGGGAAAAAAAAAAAAAGGGAAAAGGCCTCACGAATGAAAGAAAGGGGAGGAATTCTCTTAGACGAGAGAACGTAAATATTGTTCAAAGCAATTAATTCTCCGGCGGACTACCACCTTCGCTTTGTCAGAAGGGCCTGCCTTGACAAAGAGGAGGAAGCTGGAAACCGCCAGCAGTGACCAGTGGCCACTGTCGTCAAAATACTCGAACGGGGGTTGGGGAGGAAGCTGGTCGAAGGCGGGGAAGGGGTAGAAACCCGGGGATAAAAGACAAACGCCGCCGCGTTGTCGTTGTCTGATCGTGGAGATTGCTTTATTTGAGTACATTTGGCGTAGAGATCCCCGAGAACCCTGGCGAATATTTTGTCGGGGGGGCCGCTACCGCATGCGCGCGGCTGCCTCTCCCGTGTCTTTGTCGAGAGGGGCCCCGAGGCCAGAGGCGTAACGCATTAAGCATCAAAATAATGTAATCTGCCGGCTGAAATCAGGCGATAAATATAATCGACCGGCTGAAATTTGTCGGTGACGAGCACCACCGCTCCATACATCCTTAGATTGCGCTGTGCGCCTTCTCTTCGCATCGAGATTGATCGTACGCGGCGTTCCCGGGCTTACGGCGATCTATCAAGTCGATCCGTGGCAAATTGAGATCGAGACCAAATTTTACTACCAGCGTACATTGTTAAACAGTTATGTTTGACTATTATATCTCTTTGCATACATTGACGTCTGGTCAGAAAAGTGATAACGAAGGATGAAGTAAAAGAGCAGTGATGTCCAAGGATACAAGAATGTTACGTTTTATTGACGAATGAAGGCTAAACTTTCGAAAGGGAACAGACAGAGTACTGATTCGCACCATTTTTGCAATTTTAAGTGTTCGTATGTGCGTAGTGGATAAATGTCGGCTAAAAGTTTGAGCATACACTTAAGTACACTTAAGTACACGTACTGTATGTGAAATACGTATGTGTGTTTTAATATTAAAACAATGACAATGACGTGTTAGAGTATTTTAGTATCTGCCACTGTATAGTGTAGTCAAGAAATATGTAGAAATTAACATACGGCGAAATATTAAATTAAATGTGATAAATAATAAATAAAATAGACAAAAGGGTGATAAATTTGCAACAAAAGTGGTTGGTACATACTACATTCGTCTCTTCATACTTTGTGTTTTTGTTACTTTACACCTACGTTCAATTTTTACCATAAAATTTAAATCGATTGTTACCGATGTCGCGGAAACTGCAAAATGTTTATATCTTTATTCAATGAAATTAAAATCAGAGATAAGAAATGAAGGAAGTTTCGAGCTCATAGACATGAGCGTGCGGCTTTTTATGCAACTCGCTGTACCGAAATTATGTCGAATATAAATCGGTGCACATGAATCAACGACAATTCCGTCAGCGACAGCCGCCGCGGCTCGTTCGCGTGGCAAACTCGCGCAACTCAGTCCACTACGTCCGATATAAAAGTTGCAGATGCATGATTTATTCAAGAGATCGGTCTGCTTTACAAAGCTACATCAAAATATTCATTGGCTTGGAATGAGAGGTAAAGCTGCATACATGAATTTGGAAGGTAAATGAAAAATAAGGGACAAGCACGATAGGGACGAGCAAATAAATAATTAAATTCCCTAATAGAAAAATTTCAAAAAATTTCATTAACGAATTACTGCGTATTATTTTTCAAACTCGTTACGTCTTATTTGTTTTATAAAAAAAAAAAAAAAAAAAAAAAAAAAAGGAAAAAGAAGAATCTGAAATTTTTACCAGTGTACTCCCCTCTGAAAGGTGTCGATATAGTATCTTCTTAATGTTTCGAACCTTGGTGCGTGCTCTCGCGAATGCTTCCGGATTATAAACGCAGGTAGAAGGTGTGGTCGATCCTGGTGGATCCAACGAAAAACACGACCGCCCATTGTGAGGGATTTGATGATCCAGCGAGCTTGACGTCCAGCTCGTAAATCGGTAAAAGATCCCCCTACCAGGGATCGAGATGTCGGGAATAAGAGCAGACTGCTCTGCTATATTGTGTTCGTGACTTTTCCCAGGTTTTTTCTTTTCAATGATCACACTTCTGCCAAAACGTATACATATATGTATACACGATTTTTCTGTGTTTAGATATCTTCTAAATCGTCATCATCCTACTTTAACCTCTTGCGCTGGAACGACGTGCCACGCACGTCGAGAATTTTTTGTTCCAACGTTATAATATTTTCCCGGTTTTAAGTATATTTAAGTGAAACAAACAATAAATTTATTACTTCTCAATAATTTCTATCCAGCGATATCGTACCGACGAGTTGAAAAAAGAAAGCGACGAATTATCGTATACGGGTTTGGTCGCTCGTTATGGTCCGCAATCAGTTGCCAGCGCAACTGATTAACACTCTAAAGGCTAGAGAAAAGCTCAAGGCTCAATTATGACATTTTTCCCTCGTTGAAGAGTTTTGTTACATTCGCGTACTTCACTTTCTACGAAGAATAGCTGACTTGAATTGAAACGTAAATAGAAATTTATTTTGTTCTCAGACGTATTGTAATCGCGTACTATCGTGTACACATTTGACACACACGTTGCGTTATTTTTTACGGAGAAGGCAGAAAGTGAGAACTGCGCGGTTGTAGGAAGAGAACAGATATCCCATGACTACGGTCGGCTTAAACTCGTTATAAATCAAAACTCTTCCCTAAGGCAGACCTATTCTCGGGCGGCACGATAGCACAATGGCGACGGCATACAATCGCAGAGCTACGAAACGAAACGAAACGCGTTCGTTCAACCGATTTGTTTGTTCGTCCGTCTCGCGATCGAATGAAATCTGCTTAATGCGATCGAGGAGTTTCCGCGTACCCGAGAGAGAGAGAGGCTGCGAAATCACGGCTATGAAAACACGTGGAAAGGGTCGTTCGACGCTCGGTTAGGGGGTTAAACAGAAAACAGAACGTGAAAGTTAAAAAGAGAAGCAACGATAAAGGGGTGGGGAGGGGCAGTGTTGTTGGACGCAGCACACGACACGAGCCTACTTTCAGTTTCCGCGCGCCACTCGAAACTACCCCCAAGGGTATTAATTTCATTTCATCAAACAGCGGTAATACTTCGAAACAACCCCTCGTTCTTGTGTACTCTTGTTCTTCAACTGCGCGCGATACGTTTACATTTAAGTTTTTCAGGTGGTGAGAGTTTTTTCTCACAGGGAAATAGTATTTTATTTGTTCAGGGCTGCCGTGAGTCAGATTAAATCCGACGGTAATTAATTGCCGTTTTGAAATTGTGCTTCTGAAATTAATTTGTAAATTAGTTTGTGACGTGATGAATAAAGTTAATATATATATATATATAGGGAATAATGTAGTATATATGTAGTAATATATATATAAGTAATTAATAACATATTAATTTAGATATCAATGTACTAATACAGGGAAGCACAACTAAAGATTTTTCAAGTTTTAGATGAATGACTAATAAATGAATTTTGGGCGAATAGAAATGAATCTAACAAGTAATATTTACCAAAATCCAGTTGTGTCTTAAATACGTTTAATTACACATTCATACGAATAGACATTTCTTCTAATTACTACACTGGTGTAGATTATTTTATGTAAGTATGTTAATATTACGATACTTTTATAACATTTCTGTGTAATAATTATTAGAACATCAACAACATTTTAGTTTATTACGATCATTCATCAAGAACAACTATTTAGTACGGTTCGAATGTTTCGCTGTTACTGAAGCTGCGTATTTTCTTCGTTAGTTTGCTACGACGTGTTATCATCGTGTCATCGCGTGTATAATACTATCAAAAAAAGCAGGCAACTGTCGATACTTTGAAATAAGCGATACTTTGAACGTTTAGAAAACATTAAAAGTTGCTTCAAGTTGTTCGTCGCATTTTAAAATAACCATTATGAGAATAAACGATGACGTGTTCTACCAAAAAAAAAAAAAATGCTACCCTGCTGATTCAAAAGTTAAATTTCAAAAATCAATTATAATCATTCATCTTTCTCACCCTTCTCTTTCTCTCGATCCTTCGATTTCCAGTATTTGTCAAAATCGTTTGGAACATCGATCAACAAACTTTGTCTGCACAGTGTCGACACGGTGCTCATGTTCTGCTCCTGTACATCCTTGCTGCGTATCAACCGCGAGAATTTAAATTTGTTGACAATCTTCGCGAACGATCCTACCGGCTGTTGCTGCTTCTGGATAGACCTCGGAAGAGACTCGCATCCGCGATTGGCCTCTGTGAGACGCACGAAAGTGTCTGGATCGACGTTTATCATTCCGGCGCTGGCGGACTTTACACGATCAGGTCGAGAAACCGATAACTCATTCCCGTCGTATTCGTTTCCAAACTGTCCTGTTTCCTGCTTCCTCGTTGCTTCCTCTTGCGCGCCGCGATTCGCGCTCGTGGCATCTCGGCTCGCTACTTCCTCCTGATTTTCCAAAATCCGCTCGTAGTAATGAGGGAACGTTGTTGGAGAACTTCGATCATTGATCGACGGAGGCTCTAGCACCGAGTGGCAAAGCGGACCACCTCGACGAGACAAGAAATCTTCCTTCGCGCGACGTATCCTCAACGAGTGCGTCTCCAAAGACGAATCCTCCGAAATTGGATTCGCACGGCCGTCTCTTCTCGCTACAACGTTGGACAGAATCGTCAGTTTGTGAATAAGATCGGAGGACTCTGGATGGAACTTCGGGGAGGACGTGTCTTTGACCCTATCATCGAGTTGGATCTTCAAACTTTGCTGTTCAACCGAGGCACTCGTCCATCGATCCTTTTGCTCGACAGATTGTTCAAACTCGCCGTTCCTTCCCGGCAACTCGGGCGACGAGTTTCCATCTCGAAAGATTCTCGTTTGTGCCTGAAACGTGCTGCTTTCGCTGCACGTCGACGATTTCCTCGGGCTCTCCATGGACTTGCACCGTTCGAAACTTGGATTCTTCATAGGCGCTCGTTCTTCTTTGCCGTTTCGTTCGGCCTTCGTTTCGCGATCCTTCGAAGACGCGCGAAGTGGCCATGGCAGCGAAAGGGACATCCTCAGGAGTGCGTCTTGACGATTTAATTTAGGTGATCCCGATCTGGATGTGCTTTTGCTTTTCCTTCTAAACGCCTGGTCGTCCTCTTTCTTCGCTGAAGAATGCTCCTCCGAGCGTCGAAACGGAGAGAATATTATACGTTTCGTTTTAATGAAGACGCTTCGAGTCGGCGAACCTAAGATCTGCTTTTTGGTATTCGTTTCTTGAACGTTCGAGGTGACACGATTGTTGTCTGATCGATAATTGTTGTCGGTATTTTCGGTCGTGGCACATTCTACCGGTGGTCTCGACAGTTTCATCTTTTCCACGCGTGTACTGTCTGTAGGCACGACTATTTTATTCAATGTTTCCTTGTTGATGATCATCCTCTCGAAGCAACGTTCCTCGCGGCACGGCGCCACCGTGTAAGCAGTTGTTTGAATAGTCGGTTCGCGGCAACATTCGCGCGTGTAAGAATTTGTTGTGGATAACGAAGATGTCGAAACGTTTTCTATGTTGTCATAGTCTCGCCATCCTGTTCTCTCGGTCGACCGTGCGCACGTTGCAGTGTCTTTCGAGAGACCATTTTCTTCTCCATGATTTAAACGTTCCATCAACGACTCGGTCGTTTTGTAGTCGTTTCGATCTAATCTAACTTTCGATAAATCGTGGCAAGTGTTGTCCAATTCTTCTTTCATTGCACTGTAATTTCCCTCGATTTTTTTCAAACTGTCGTCTCCCCGATTGGCATAAAACAGATCTGATTCACTTGCCGTGGGCTTGACTTCATCTACGAGTAATTGTAACATCTTTATTTTTGATTTGTGTTTGGCTACGGTGTACAGTGCGTGAGATACATGAAAATACAAATAATATATATTATTTAAATAGTCAGGACATACCTAATTTACGAGCATTTGGTGTTTTTGGTAGATCTGAGATCGTTTCTTTCTCATAATTCGCCAGTGACAATAACGACGTATTCGTTAAAGAACCAGATGGAGGATCATCGGTTCTTCGAATTACTTCCTCGTATTCGTTGTCGGATTTATTCGTAGCTTCAACAGTGTCTTCGTCTTCATCGTTACTGCTCTCGTCCTTCTCTACATCTTGGTTATCACACCTTGGTTGGTTCTCGCTCGATAACTCCTGGTTGTACCGACAGGTCGCTACTTTTGAATGCGCTATGATAAAACTTATTTCTGAAGACCATGATCTATCTTTCATCATTGCTTTCATTTCTCTATTCTCTCTCGAAGGAGAGACGATCGACTTTAGAAATGTTAATTTTAGAAACAAGCTAAGAGTTTGAGGCAGAATCACCGAGTTTCGACGTGAATTTTTCCAAAGTTGTGTTTACACATTGACAAAGAAAGAGAAGAAGCAACAAAATAAAAAATAAAAAAAAAAAGGTATTTGAAACATAGAATGATAAACCGCGTTATAAAATTTCACAGAATCTACCGTTGTTTCTTTTATGCCTGCAGCAAAATTAGAACGATTTCCAAGATTCCATTCACGGATAGTTTTATTTTCGTTCGTTTCTAGAACGGAAAACAAGGAATTCTTTACTTGACTTTCGTCACCAATCTCACAACTCACTCGGAAGCTTCATTAATTATTTTCTTCAACTTACCATCAGGCGTGTGCTCCCTCGTTCTTTTCTCAATTGCTTCTTCATCGCCGGGTGATGTTACAGGAACGTCTTCTCTAGAAATGGATAAACACACGTGAAGGTGTAATTAATTTCACAAAACAATACTGTTGATTGTTGCAGAAAATCTCAATTTTTGTGATAAATGTTTCTGTTCAAAATAAAAATATAAAAATTATCAATAGTCAAAATAAAAATTATTTAAATTGTATTATTATATTGTGCTATATCATATAAAATACTAGATTGTTGCAGAACATATTTATCAATAAATACTTCTTTTAAGAAAATGTAAGAATTACCAGTAACCAAAGTGAGAATTGTTTAATATATTATATCATATTGTATATAAATAATATATAATATTATATTAATTATTAATTTTTATATTATATTATATTCTATATAATTATTACATTGTACATCATATTGTTACATTAATATCATATACCTTTCGAAATTAACGTGATCCCGATCTTCCATTTCTTTTTCTCCTTTCGTAACATTTGATTCTGTATCCACATCTGTCGAACAAATCGAACTATTTGACTTCACAGAATCTTTATCCAATCCTTCTTTAATTTCTCTGTTACTCGTCGAGCTCGTAAAGGACCAGTGCTCTGAATCGACGTTACTCGAGGAATTCCTTTCGTTGTCCCAGGCTTTCACCGTATTCGATCGTTCCGCGCTCAAACTCTCCTCGCTCGAGAAACTTTCCCTCTGAATCCATTCGTTCGATTCCCAGTGTTTGCGGTCAGAATTTTCGTCGATCTCGATTAAGTATACCGGTGATGGTTCGTGACTGGAGGCAACTGTTCCAAGCGGCACGGCGATGCTGGTGGTTTCGCTCGCTGCAACCGAGTATACAGGCGTCTGATGCGGTTGCACCCTCTCCAGGGGACTCGCCGTTTCCTCGATAACGTCCTCGATGTCTACGATCATCGCTTCCGGTTCGGAATCGTCCATTATACCGTCTTCCATTATGTCCTCCGTTCTCTGAGCGTCGACTGTGAAAGTAGAATTTGTAAACGAGAAGCGAAAATAATTGATTAATTGTCTTTTATTTTTTTTTTTAATATTAGAAACTGTCAAAAAAATCCAAAGGAAAAGTGACATTGAAAAACTATACTTTTAGCGAGCGCGGACAAATTTTTGATTGAGTTAAAATGATACTGTAAGCCATCATTTTCAGAAAACTGATGTACGTGGGATGAAACATACTTACTTATGTTAATCTTCATATTTAAAGTCTGACGTTACATTGATTTAAATCTAAATATTACAGGGATGATTTGGAAAGTTTCATCTTCGCTTAAATGAAGAACTAAAGAACAAAAATTTATTTTTATTGTTGTTTCGTAAGAACAAAACTTTTTCGTTCAGTTTGGTATAAATACTAACAATTCTGATTCATATTCTGATTTGTACGTCGCAGAGATAAGATAGAAGAGAAACAGACTACACTTAAATGAAAATCACTCAAATTTCCAAAAACGCATCGCACGCATCCAAATCTTTAAGATGGAAAGTTTTCACGAATAATTCGGATTATTTTGTTTATTTTCGTTCTAATGACAATACGGTTGTTTGAAAAGGAAAAGAGTTATAAATAATAATACTTACTAGCCTCTGGTAAGATGTCGATGCGATCCAGTTCTTCCAATCTACTCGTGAGATGATTCAGTAATTGCAAACTGTTCGAACGGCGTACGAAAAATGCATTTTGATCGGTTTTCTCAATGATGCTGCCGACAGATTTCGATCTCTTCAAAGAGCAATCTTTGAACAATACCGGCTCGTTGCTTCTAACTTTTAAATAATTACCTAGTTAAATTACCACGTTGAAAACATCGACACGTCTGATTGTTTAACCGACGACTATTAAATAAGAATCTTACTCGTGGGTGAATCCGTTGACGTTTTGATGGTCGATCGTCTTAAAAATGGTATGTAAGCAGGTCCTAGGAGGCGGAACGTTGAAGATGTGGGCGATATTCCACGGTATCGCTCCCAGTCATATAGTTTCCTTGTGAATTCACGCGAAATGCCTTCGAATCGGTAAGATCCGACGGATGTACGAACGAAAACTTCGTTGGTATCGTTTAGGTTCTGCGTTCCATCGCCATATGATCTTGAATAAAAAAGAATATATATATATTATATATATATAATTTACATAAATATATTACATATGTAATATATGTAATATATAAAAAATATATAAATTAATAAACAATTATAATTAACTCTTTGAGTATTTAGTCCGCGCTAGAGTATCGATGATCTCACAATTAATAATAAATATAAGTCACCTCTCATTGGAAATAATTTATGCCCCATAAATATCCTTCCTTTATTAAAACTGCCAGTCGATATAACAGTTTAGTCATTACAACATCAATACAATTATTATGACATACCTTGCGTCTCCATCGAAACATTCGTCCAGTTGTTGAACATCGCAGCCACGTCTCTCTCTACTCGCGTTACTATTAAAAAGCGGCAGTAACTTTTCTAGAGCGAGAAACTCGGTTTCATCGAATCCAGACGCGATTTTCAATCGGTCCGATTTCGAATGCACGGAATCGTAATTGCCGCTGTCGTTCGTTCTCTTCGAGCTTTCGACTCTTCGTGGGAGATCCTCGCCAAGCTGAGACCTCCCGTCGTTAGCGATTTCTCTGACAGACTCGGCGCTGACTTGCGGGATCGCGACCTCTCTGTTTCTGTATTCAGTTTTCGAAGGAGATCTCCAAAGTTGCCAGTCGGTCAAACGACGTCGTTTGATCCTTTGCTGTTCGAGGGGTGCGCTTCCGCGTCGCACTTTCTTGGCGCGCTTCCAGTCCTGCAGCTTCTTCCTGAATTCAGGAGCTAATCTTTCCTCGGACAGCAAACTCTCTCGAGGGCTTGGTACGCTGAACGAAATTTCACGGACCTCTTTCGTGGCGACGCGAGGTGGAAGGCTTTTCAGACGTTCCCATTCCACCAGTTTTTGATGAAACTCGCTTCCCAATTTTTCTTTGAGAGCTCGATAATCTTGCCGCGTGTCCGCCTGCACGTTCGACGGTGTTGTCTTCTCGATATTTTCCACGCTGTCGTTGTGATTACAGCCAACTGATGCTTCTAATCCTACGAATAGAAAAGAGGATCACTATCGAAATAATAATTGTATGAGATATGAATAAAAATAAATACAAAAATAATAAATAAAATGTAATAAAATATGAATAGAAACTGTAATAAAAATAAATAAAAAATAATCAAATGAAACGTAATGAAATATGAATTTTAGTGGAATTTATGGGAATGTTCGTTAATTAATTAATTAACACATTGAAATGTCTATGTTTTCGTTGTCTATGTAAATAGATTTTCACCGACGAATAACTTTTTTATTTAATTATTCTGTATATTCTGCATACCGTCTTGAAACAGCATCTGTCTGGAAACGACATTGATGAGATTCGACGGGACGCTTGGGATTGAATTCGTTAGAAACGCTCGTCTGACTTTGTTCCACTTGGAATCTGACCTCTGTATCTTCGACGTAAGAATCGCCGATTCCCCACCGAATGATTGCTGTATTACAACAAAAAGATGTGAAATTAAATTAAGGTAAATAACAAAATACAAGGTTTTGTCGAAATACAAGGAGAGATTGGCTGTTTACTTCAAAGGGGAAGACAATATTAACCTGCCGTTTAAAATCTTTGTTCGTAGACAAGTCTCGAAATGTCTTCCTGTGTTGTGGAGAATTTCCTGCAGAATTGATGGTATTGAAAAAAAGTGGCGAATTTGATTCTGGGGAAGATGTGTATCTGATGTTCTCTTCGTGCGAAGGTATCGTAATCGTCAAAGTTGGCGTTGATCTTTTCGACGTCGGTTCTGTACCTTTCTCGTCTATTCTGTTCGACGATAGTGTCGTGTGGCTTTTATCCGATGTAATTCGAATTAGTGGCTTCCCTTGTCCGACCTGATTTTATATAAACATTGTATTGTTGATTTGAAATTAATTCCACGTCGTATTATAATTCCACGTTAGTGAATATATATATACATGTTTCAAAAGTATAACATTTTGCAGAGAAAAATGTTACGAATAAAATCAGCGAGAAAGTATAACTTAATAATATTTTATTTACCTCGTTCGTTAATCCCGTTTCATTAACTTGTGAAGTATCTAATATAAGAATATTATCATCAAGAGATTCACTGTGCCAATTTCCATACGCTGGTTTTTTATTCGATTTTCTCTTTAAAGATTTATAATCTAAATGATTCAAAGCACTCTTCTGCGAACCTAGAAAAATTTGAGGAATCAAAAAAAAAAAAAAGAAAAAAAAGAAAGAAAGAAAACATACAGACACGAGCAGTACGACAAACTGCACTTATAGAAATATTTATATAAGAGTATAAAAATTTACGAATTTCGTACAATCGTAAAATCCTTCATTGAACGAAGATGGAGGCGAGGTTCGACCGAAGAGCGTCCCTACGTTGCAAAGCTCGATAACAGGAGAGGAAGTGGTAGTATTGCTCGGTTCTCTAATTTCAACATCTGGTATTCTGTGATACTTGGCCGTTGGAGACGATGGAGAAACGGTGGTCGTGGATGACGTGCTCGTTGTCATCGATGGATCTATAATTTCTGCGTCGTTCGTGTAAGCTCTCTCCCACTTGAAAGCGGCCTTAACTCTGGTCCACTTCGAAACCTTCGGCGCGCTTCCAGAAATTTCATCTATCGACGCCTGCTTTTCCATGTCGAATTTATTTCTCAGTTGCCTCGACGATGACGAACGAATGTTCCGCTTTTGAAACGGCGAATCCCTGCAATTCGACAGCATAGCGTCCAACAACGATTCCGCGAATCCAGTGTCCTCCTCGCATACGTCGATAATTGCGTCCTTGTCGCGCGCGAAAGCATTCTCCAACTTATGATTGGCGCTACGGAGTATTTTCAGCCGTTCCAGATTCCTGACGCGTTTGAAAAACTTCGAATTGCGGTCCCTCAGCTCGAGAATTTGCTCGGCGAAAGCGTACAAACGATCCAAGTGCTCGAACGCATCTTCCGCGCAAACACCTGAAATAGCCGTCGCAGACACAGCAGAATTTCTTGAAGGGCACTCCGAGGTTTGACCTTCGAACGGCAACGTCCCATAATCCGTCAAGTAGGCGATCATGTCCTCGTCTTCGTCGACGTTTCGACTCTGTCCTATTTCCGTTTGATCTCGCGGATTCTGCAAGCGCCATAGGCTCGCCCATGGATCCGGTGGCGGTGCAGGTAATTCACTTTCGTCCACTTTGTGTTTACCCTTCGACGATGTTCTTTGTTCGGTAACGCGGCTCGTGCACGCTCGACCGACATTTCTTTCGGCCTTTTGACCACTATGATCACCGAACTTCTCATTATCAACCATTTGGCTGGCTTTACATGTGTGCTTTACCTTCCGCGAGCTCTTCAATCGAATTCTTAAATACTCTAAGTGTATTCTATCTTATATGCGCAATCTAATTTTAGAACATATGTATATTTTTTTTCATAAATATCATAGGCGTAGCGCGGAAGATACTTCTACGAGCTTTAGATACTTTCTGCTTGGTATTTAGAAATTTCAATATCCATTTATTTAATTCGGTTGATTGAGATGATAAAGGTGTAACGATGATCACTTGCAAAGTACTTAGGTACAGTGTCTTTTTGCTTCGATACTGAAGTCGAGGCAACAGAGACGGATCATGAACAGCACTAACTTTTGTACCACTCTTCCGTTACACATCAGTAAGAATTTACTTGTTCGATTTTCTATCACTGGTCCAACACGAGGTAAACACACGATCAATAATATTTTATCATACGTTTGTTTATTAATGAAACGAATGTTATTGCAAGAATTCGTGTTAAGACAGATCGGCAGGTCTTACGGCGAATATCTCGAAAGGTTCGCGGTGGGAATGCATTTTTTACGTTTGGCGACGTCAAGAGAGCCGCGGAAGAAGCAGCCTAAAATCGCAGCAACGTCCTCGCGTGATTATTTTCGGTAGCAAGCATTCGGCATTCGTATTTACAACGAACACAAGAGCGTGTTCGTGACGGCGAAGCTTTCCACAACGTTCGAAGAGCATGCGCGAGAGCGTGTGTCCACGATAACCGAGTAAAAGAGACGGTCTTCCTGTTCTCGTCGAAAATAGACGGTGTAAAGACCATGGAATAGTGGCCGCCCACGTTTGCATACCCTATATACTGATTGCAGTACAACTAGTTTTCGCTATAATTTCACCATCATATATTTTTCTTTTTTTTTATATACCATATCACAAACGAAAGAAATTTACGTAATACAGTGTATCTCGCGAATGGTGGTCAATCGATTGTGAAGTGATTCTACAGGTAAAAGTGAGTTGAGAAGAAAAGATAAAATTTTTTTCATTGAAGCCTACGATTTTCGAGAAAATCGACTTTGAAAATCTATCAAGTACACGTGTACTAAGACGATTTTTAATCAAACATTCAAAGTCTATTTTCTTGAAAAAAACGTCTTAAACGAAAAAATTTTCTTCTATTTTTGCACGTATAAAATATCTTCGCGCGTCGATCATTCACGCTCGTTCGTTTTTATATGTAGAATCACTTTCTAATCGATTGACCACGAATCACGAGACACCCTCTATATTGAAATACATGTAGGTATATTTGATAGTGGTGCCAAAGTATGAATTACGATTTGTTCTTTCATAATTTATAATTTAGTTACTCTGTGATTATTATATGTAATTGCTTTTTACATTGGATTTATAAGATGCTCTATTTATTATTTTGTTATAGGATCAATGTTCCATTTAAATTGTTATCTTTTCTGTAGAAATCATTTCTTACAAATTTATTGTCATTATTATTGTTCATACAATATTAATAATTATTTATAATTTATCAAAATTACTCACGATTATAAAAACATAAGAGCATAGAAAAATTATTCATGCATCGGTAATCTGGTTAGGTCAGGCATTTGTGATCCTGCAACGACAGCACCTGGAATCATTAACTTATTCAAATTCGTTCAAAATTTTTAATTGCCAGGTTTACTTACTCATTAAAATTCCTGACATAATGTAGATACTAGTAACGCATTGTATATTCAGAAAGAGTTTAGTAAAGCTACCAATAAAGTATGGAAATATTCTAGATATACCGATAATCGTGCCTCTGAAATCATACTAAATTCACCAAAAGTTTCAGACAACTTAATATATATATGTGTTAATTAGGAAATGTCAATCTCACAGAAACTGTTTCATAATTAACCTTACGCCGGTAAAATAATTTTCCATTATAATTATCGGGATTGTTGTACAACCAATTGTGTAAGCTGCTAGTATAATTAATGAAAGAATGACTCGTACTATGTTATGGGCTGTAAATAATAAACCAAGGCACGCTGCTGTTCCCATTAATCCTGAAAGCACTAAATGTAAAATGGAAAAAATTTGTTCTCAATAATTTCAAGAGATTAGAATGAGTGATATATCGACAATACGCTTACTTAGAAATATTTTTCGACTAATAACATCGATGCCGATTAGCAACAAAATTTCTCCTAATATATAGCTCAAAGACAAATAGAAAAAACCACTAAAACGATCTGTATCTACTTCTTGACAATTCTGCAAAAATCCTAATGCCAAGTTCTCTACACTAATAATGCATGTAGCATTCTTCTTTGACGATTTGTTAAAATCTTCGGTTTCTTGAAGTAATTGGGTATTCCAGAGCGCAATCCAAATAATTCTAGTAACCATAATATTATCAAAATGAATAATAAAATATTTAATGCGTTTATGTTTAATAGAAAATGATATGTTACCCGGGAAATTGTAAAAGGTTCATACAAATTCCTAGTAGCGTTGTACATTTCAATGGTGTGCTGCATATCTCACGGATGCGTTTACATGTTTTTATACAGAATCTGCGCATTATAGTAATCACATTTCTTGTAATTTCTTCGTCTTCTTCATTTGGTCGAACACAATTGTTCAGACTATGTAACTAGAATGTATCATTTAATATTATTTCACAGTATCCAATCTCGAGAAGGTATGAGATTTTGTAAATGATTGTAATGCTTCATTAAAATTTAACTCTCAGAAAAAAACGTATTTCATATAAGAGAACGTAATATCAATACAAAATGATCATACTGAGTAAGTAGCGGCATGCTTCGAATTATTAATTGCATAAATTTGCCGCAATACTGCCAGTGCTTCTTCGTACCGACGGCGATAAAGTAAATACCTTGGGCTTGTTGGTAACAAACTAGTCGCACACGCCATGATCAAATTTGGTATACCTCCTAACCCTGTAAGGACTCGCCAAGAATTCGGTCGAAATTTTTTATTTTGGAATTGTATGATTGAAGGCATCAGTAACCATGACAAACCTATTTTTAATTACAATTCAATTTAATGAATATAATACTTTTGTACTTCTTTGTAACTTTTACCTAAGGCAGATATGTAACCAATGATTCCTAATAAATCCAAAATGACTAAACAAAAGCCTCTTCGTTTTATGGGCAAAATTTCGATTAGATATACTCTTAAAACCACGTTATTACCAGCTAATCTAGAATATAATTATTTTTATAAATATTACAATGATTCATATATTTTCTCACACACACATATATATATATACATATTACATAATTGAGTACACTAATTCGTAGATGGTAATTATACTTACCCCACTCCAAGTATAAATATAGAAAGATATATTAGCAACATTGTTTGCGCAAAGGATAAAGTGATAGTAGCGCAAAACACAGCCAACATAGTAACAGGAATACAATCTTTACGTCCACTTGCATCGATTATTGTTCCGAATGCAAATGCTCCTATGGCCATACCTATATATAATTTCATTTTCATAAGATACATATATTATAAATTATCTAAAACTCAAAATTTAATTTAATTTACTTTATTTATTTAATAATTTATTTTAAGTATATTTTACTTAAAAATGTAAAGACAAAATGATAAGATTTGAAACGATTATTGTGAAATCGAATGTGAAATCATGAAGAATTTTTTGAAATGACCTTGGCTAATGAGATTGTCTACAAGATTCATTCTATTCCACGTGTATCCATAATCTGAGTGATTATGAAATTCTTGTAGCGTTAAAATTCTGGATATTTTCCGCTTAGAGTGATGACTATTTGGATTGTGAATTTTTACACATTTATACGATATTTAAAAATTCAACAATGTACAGACATGCAACAATGCAGCAACATGTAACATATACGTATAAAATATTTATAGCACATTATTCATAATGTTTACTGGATGAAATTTAATTTTAATAGTTCAGAAAAATATGAATTTGCATAAAAATTCGCAATTTAGTAATGAACTATTTTTAAGCTTTACATAATTGGTAAACTTCGTGCGATTAGTCATTCATTTTAACATGCACATAATTAAACTTTTATAAAATAGTCGTTGAGCGATTTAGATAAGTATGAATATCATTAAAAAAGTAATGAAAAAGATATTTAGACAGAAAAATAATTCTATCAAATAAAATCTCATTTCTGATCTATCATTTAGAACGCTCAGTTTATCTTCGTTTCATAATATTTTAATCTTTCTTACTTAATTTATAAGTTTTTTCTTTCTATTTAGAAAAATCAAAGTGTTTTAATCATATTTCATCTTATAATATATATAGTTTAAAAATGTTATTTACATTGCAAAAACGTCATATTTTGCAGAAAAACACATTTTAGCACAAAAATTTTTAGTGATAATTAATAATTAATGATTGATTATATTTTTGTGAAAAGTGGATAAACTGATAAATCATATTTCTTTTTATGTATTCATTCTGTATATACCTAAAGTTAAGGTAGCATACACAGCAGTCACTTGACTTGTATTTAGACTTAAATCACATGCCATAAATGGAACTATAACTAGAATAATGGGAAGAACACAAGCTTCTGCAAACGCACACATGCCACATAATCCAACAATAAAACAATGACAAAGTCCCCATCCTGTAATTAAATATAATAAAACAATTATATTAAATCTGATATGTATTCCATATTGATCATTAAATAAAAACATTTATCATTTTTTACGTGACAAAAATCTTACTCATAACATATTAGATGTTACATATTTCTTCATATTATGTTGCAACCAACAAAGAGAATATAGTAACCTATACTGCTATATATTATTATATTACTAATAAATAAAAGTGTTATGATTTCAAAAAATACTACATAATCATCATAATAGAAATTATAATACAAATACAAATATTGTAAATAAATTACAAATAGTTACTTTTGATGCTTTTTCTCCATATTTTAAAATTAAAAATCGTTTCAAGAACGTTATTATTTTAATAAGGTTGTCTTTTTGTAGGCTACAACATAACACTAAATATATGCATTTATATCAAGAATACTTCAATATTTTGAGAAATATGATATGAAAAGTAAAACCTAATGAACTTCTACTGGAATAAGATATACATATTTCGCAAATCATGTATCCATCAGGTTTCAATGATTAAATAAATGTCCTAACCTGTTTTAGCAATAATTTTTTCACAGTTATTAGTCATCATATATTATGAAATTTAGTAATAGATACTGATTTGTAGAATTCCATTTGCTACACTGGAAAATGATTGAGCTATACATTTATTCGTGAATTAATGACGATAATTCAGTAATTTCAAATTCATATTCTCAAAATTAAATTATTAACAAAAACCATTCAATACTTGATACTGACAATCTTCACCTTGAAGACAGTTACATAATTATACTTAAAAACACTGAGCAGAAATAAATTAGATGAATAAGTGATTCAAATACACAATATATGAAAGACACTTATTTATTATAAGGAATGAAAATATTTCATATTGAAAATATAATCACCACTGATATTTAAATATTTCATTACAAAACAATCTACTGGTTTCCAGTTGAGATTAAAATATTATAATATTAGTAAAATATATGAAGTTTTTAAAGTGGTTCATTTATTGATCTTTGAAATATTCTTTAGAGCCAACAACATCAGGCTTCATAGTCTTCTTTCCTGGTTTCCAACCAGCTGGACACACTTCTCCATGTTTATCAGTATATTGGAATGCTTGAACTAAACGCAGGGTCTCATCAACAGATCTACAAATGTGTGAATTTATGATAAAGCAACCTCAAGAATCATACATTAAAAATAGTGTCTTATTATATAAAGTTTACCTGCCAACTGGTAAATCATTAATAGTAATTTGACGTAAATTTTGTTTATCATCTATGATAAAGAGACCACGGAATGGAATTCCACTTTCTTCGTCAAGCACACCATAATCGCGTGCAATTTTAGAATTTTTGTCAGCGAGAAGTGGAATGTTCATTTCACCAAGCCCACCTTGTTTACGTGGTGTATTTACCCATGCTAAGTGACTGAAGTGAGAATCAGTAGATGCAGCAATGACTTTACAACCAATTTGCTCAAATTCTTGAACACGATCGGAGAAAGCAATGATTTCAGTTGGACAAACAAATGTACTGTGAAATAAATATTTATCAGTGCGTATGTTACAAATATAATGTAAAGTTAAATATAAACTTATTAAATGAAATGCTTACAAGTCTAATGGATAAAAGAATAGTATAAGATATTTCCCCTTATAGTCAGAAAGAGAAATCTCTTTAAATTCTCCATTTACAACAGCAGTACCACGGAAAGCAGGAGCAGGTTTCTGAAGTGCTGGGACTGGCATGATTATGTTTTAAATTTCTATAACAAAGAGAAAAATGAAATTTCTATTAGTAAGAATGAAATTTATTAATAGAACAAATTAGAAAGTATTTTATGTAGCTCAATTAATTACCACCAATTATTTTGTATAATGACTTATTATAAACGTTATACATATATTACAATATAAAAACATTATAAAAGAAATAACTGAACAACCAAATCATATATGATATATACATAACATGTTTTTCATATTTCGCACATTTGTGACAAAAAAAGTAACTGATAACATATGTTTATGCAATATAATAACAGAAAGACTAGTTATTTTTACAGAAAGACTAGTTATATTTTCTGACTATACAATAAAAATTTGGTTGTAAAAGGTATTATATATATTCAATTAAAAATTATTTTATTTCATACTTCGAATTTTAAAAATTAATGAGTTTGTTTCACCTATAAGACAAAATAATGAACCTTGTTCATTCTAACCTCTGGCTTATCGCTTTTATATTAATTCTTATTTTATTTTCCGTATTATCTAGGTATTGTATATTATTCGTTGAACAAATTTAATAAAAAGAAATAATTCGTATTTCCTCTAAAATTATCTATACATTGATTAATATGTGGTTTAAGAGAATGACGCATCAAAAACTGTTTCTAATTAATGTGTTCGAGAATCGATTAAAAGATAACAAATAAACGAAGTGATTGTAACACAACTAGTGAAGCAATACCATTAAGGTCAGACACTTAAAGATACAAAAAGCATAAAGAACTGGAATTAAAGTGTTTCATTAAATATCAGAAACTGATACGATGTAAAATACTAGTATTACGTATTAATGTAAAAAAATTGTATTAACTGTGCAAAAATGAACGTAAAAATTGATCTACTTTGCAAGTATACTTTTCATGTATGAAAATACATTTTATACAACTTTTCAAATATTCACTGTAACGTATATTTTATATAACTGAATTCTATTTGTGAAACTAATGATTTGACATCCACGAACAACGTTCGTATTCAAGCTTTCTCGTTTCTTTTAGTGTTTCTTTTGTATCAGTGGTTCTTGCATCATCGAGAACCTTCCAAAGACTCCGGATAGAATATAGATTTTCGCAAAAAGAAGTCAAGTGCGAGTAACGTTTAATTCTACGACTTCAATCTGTTTAACGCAATGATAAAAAATAAATAATTAATTAAATTTTCATGTTTATCCATATAAAACGTTTGTAGTATTTCTTAAATTTACTTTTACAAATATTATCAATGTCTGTGAAAGTAATTAAACAAGGATTAGAAATATTCTAAAATGACTTAAGTATAAATAGCGCTCCAAAACAAGAAATAAACTGTGTGATATTAATATTTCTGTTTTTATGTTTCGTGACAAAGACTACTTACTTTGTATTTTCCGTAAAATCACTATTCAACGAACTTTCGCTTCAAAGACGTGAATGGTAATGGAAACCGGTCCCCGGTCCGGTAGAATTTATCCACAGAATTTTACACTCGAAAAGGACTATACGCGCCATCTGTCGCACGTAGCGCCCTCTAAAATTATTCCTCCAAGAAATATCAGAGTTCTTTTCTAGTGGTTATTGTTGAACATTATGTGTACATAATATTTGCAACAACAAAGAGCAGCACATGAATGTAATTCTTATTTGTTAACTCCAATAAATGTACGTATATTATTATTTAGAAATTAATATTAGTGATTAATACTGTCAACTGCATTAGACAATACAAATAAGTACTACAATATGATAAAATCTGAGATGAATTGTATTTTCAAAGATGATTGTTTAAACAATGAATTCTTTAAATGAAATTTGAACATTAAGCACACTCTAGGTATGTATTTTGTTAAAATTTTCGTACGATAAATCTCCAAAATTAATAACTAGAACTAATGATTTTCACTTGGATAAAATATCTTTGATTATAATTGTAAATTTTAATTAACGCTATTGGTACGTACAAACAATAATTTTTTTTAAAAATTATTAAAAGTGATCAAATTTTTACAATATTATTGTCTAGATCTGAAGTCAATTTGGTTGTGTGTAGAATAATTAAAAAATATTTTTGAGTAACAACTTTTTGTTTAATTTTGTAATATTACAATTTTAAATAAATAAATTCTTTCTCTTTTATTTTTAATTATTAAATAAGAATGTTTAATGTATAATTAACGTGGTTATGATAAAATTAAATGTTTATTTAAAACTACAAAAATACTTAAAGAGTAAAGACGATGGAATTTTTTTTAATTTTTATTCACAAATAGATGGCAGTAAATTATGTTTTGTAGTTTTTTAATATTAATGAAAACTTGTTAAATATAGAAAGTTGTTATATTCTACATAAATTATCATATTTTGAATGTTGTCACATATTATACACAGTATTTATGTATGAGTAATTTGTCTTTAATAACAACAATTTATATAAATAATACATCTGATTTAAACTACAATGCCAAAAGAATATTACAATGATATTTGTCTTATTTTTAGATATTATAACACTAAACAGACAATTTCAATAGATAAATACTTTGAAAGTACTTCCTATTGTTTTCTTATTTATAATATGTATGTATATTTTTGGCACTTACTATGTAAGAATTGCATTAAATTTAATATATAGAAAATTAGAAGTATTCCATTCAAATGAATGTTCAAAATTTAATGTTCAAAATAATCATCAAGATCAGCCTTACAATAGCTTTTGCGTATTCTATAATTTCATAGTGTCCTAAGAAAATTAAATATCTTTTGTGTTATTAGGATGAGTGTTCTAGTTCAGTATGTGGTGGTACGAGGAGATCTTCTGAAAAAAATGGAGTGGCCCATTGGCGCAATTATAGCTCAAGCATGCCATGCGTGTACTGCTGTTACTCATCTTTTTTATAATGACAATTACACACAAGCCTACCTTGCCAATTTAGACGTTATGCACAAAGTTATCTTGGAAGTAAGTATATCCAGGAACTATATATATTATAGGTATTAAACGTCAATTTGAATGTATTATTGTGCATAACTCTTGTGTATACAATTTTTAAAACAGCGAAGGAGTATGGTGACATTTATAGCATATTCATACATGGATATATTTATATGTATATAAATATTAGGTTCCAGATGAGACCAGTTTAAATAATTTACGTTTAACGTTGACAAATGAGAACATTGATCATAAGCTCTGGATCGAACAGCCTGAAAATATTCCAACGTGTTTGGCAACAAAACCTTACCCGAAGGATAAAGTACAATCATATTTCAAGAAATATAAGTTACTTAAACTGTAAGGAGATACAATTTTCATTATTACATAATTTTCTTTTATACTGTACATTAATTCTAATAAAATTAAATAGTAGCATAAAATAAAGTAGTATTATATATAGCATTATATATTTTAAGGAATAATCAATATTTAATCAAAGTTTTAATACCTGAAAAATTATTATTTGCAATAGTACAAAAAAGAGTCGAACTCAGATTAGGATATATCAAAAAAAAAAACCTAGAAAAATCTTATACATCTTTTTCTTAATTTTTTTTTATATATTTAAATAGGAATTAATTCCAACTTGGGATTGCTATACGCCAATATGAAAACGATAGATGTATACTTATTCTTTATTTAATAATACTTGACAGTATTGACAATGTGTACACATTACTCCTTTGCTTTACAGTTGATATTATTCTAATCTAGATGAAAATTATGTCGAGATATGCATTATTAACTGATATTTGTATAAAAATTTTTTCTGGTAATCGTGCACTTTGTTTATTAGACGTACCAAAGGCGATAAAATGGCATAGGTACGCATATATGTATTGTGCACTTAAATGACATACATTATAGAAAAAAATTTCAGCTGTTCCTTATTAGAACAATTAATATAACATCAATTTTTTAATGAGAATAAAATTAAAAATTTCTTAATTGTTATACAAATATTAATCAAGCGAAAAATTAGATCTCCCAAAAATAACATAAATTAAATTAAAAAATCTTAGAAACATAATAACGTATAATAGAAGTAATAATTAGTAAAAGCTATATAAATACACAATATTATAATCATGCTTAAATGCATTTGATTGCATTTTAGGAAACAAATAAATAAACAGAAAAATAACACTGACTAAAATTAACATGAAATCATTTTTAGCTAAAAAAGGTAGAATAAAACGATTAACGTTTTAGACTTTTTACATTTTGTGCTTTCACGGGATATTTCCACATAATAAATAGAGAAAGATCATTTTTTCTCATAGAATGCAACGTATTTTAAAAAAGGAAACATGTTGACTTTAATAGATCAATAAAATTGTTTATTGTTTTAGAACTTTGCTATCGCTGTATTACTTTGTGCAAACGATATCTGGATAATTCGGTCATCAATTTTATTCTCTTTAGAAATAAAGTAATTTATAAATTTATGATAAATTACTGATGTTTACGTTTACATTATAAACAAATTGTCGGCGAAATTATGATGTTCTAGCCGCATTTCCGGTAATAAGCTCTAAATATTTATGTACACGCACTATTTGCGGACGCTAAACACTGTAAGTACACTTATTTACAACACCCGATGGCAAGAAGATTATTTCGGCATACACGTATTTCATATGCCAAAAAAGAAAAAAAAATATATATATATGTAAAAAAATATATATATTTCTTTTTCTTAAATAACTCGGTTCTCTTCGCGTTGAACTGGATGAATTGTATTTTTACGGTGGAGTATACACAGAGGTCCTTGAAAATATGTACTATCTTCTTTTAAAATGCTTGTATCACTGCCCTTCTTCCTTTTCCGCTTCCTCTTCTAGCCAATCATGAAGAATATTTCTTCTTCTCTGAAAAAACGAGGCGAGAAATAATCTGTAGTATTTGCAAAAATATTTTGTACAACTTAAAGCAAATGTAACAGATTTGTGTAACATTCAAAGATGAAAAAGATGGCCGCTTTGAAATATACAAAGTACGATGCTTTTACGTACAAGTCGCTATTTATTCGAAACGAGTCGGTTTTTCATTGTTTATGCATTTCATTAATTATTAGTTACAATTATAAATTACGTTATCGTGCGGATAAGCAAAGCAAACAAGAATATAAGCGGATTATTTTACAGAGAAGCAATCAGGAGTGTTGTTTTTGATATTAATCCATGTCTTCTTCATTCTAATTTCAAGAAATGCAGTTATAAGCGAGTCATTAAAAGCGTAAATTTTATTAATTTCTTGATTTAGCTTTAATATTAAGAAGAGGAAAGAAAATAGAGTTCAAGAGGAAATCAATTTTGATAAATGTAAATATTTTTTCTGTCTCTAAGTATTTTTCTGATATATATATACATATTATGTACTTTCTTTTTTTTTTTTTTTTGAGGGGAAAGC